TTACAGCCCTTTTTACTTATATTTATATAATATTAGTAAGTTGTAAAATATAAATTATAATATTTTAACATCGACTAAATATAAGGAACAGTTTACTGATTACATTACGTACTTTCTATCGGTTCTGCGTCATCTCTCTTTGCCGACATGTCATTACCAAAGCTTTTCAAGTATTGATTATTAGTGCGATTATGATAAAGTTTTCTTTCAGCAATAATCTGTGCAAATATATTAATGCTTCTTCAATGATTTATATAATTTATTAGCAATGTGTTGTCATCATTGATGAATTAACTTAGAATATTATCTTACGTTTCTATACGATAAACGCATCAAACATTTTTTGTAATTTTCCAAAGTAGATGTAATGTCTAAATATAATATTAAGTAGCATTTTTACGTACTTGTTCAGTAAATCCATGTAATATCTTCAGAATTTTTCTTTGCTCTCTACCTGTTGGCGTCAACCAGAATATCCAATTGACGTGCAACCATGGCCTCATTAATCTAAACCATAATTATTTAATAATAGACATGTTACTTTTTAAGAAGATTATAATGTAACTTTATAAAACGATTATTTAAGTTTTTTATATATATTTACAATTAGTAATATTACATTTACTATATAAAAAGAAAATACGCCCGGAAAAAAAACCTCTTATTTGTTCGTATTAGTTCATATTAGTTTATATTAGTAGATATATGATTATATATGATCATATAAGAAATGGAAAATATAATTTTAAACAATATTATATGGCCATATATGAGCATATATGATTATATACCCGGGAAAAATACCTTTTATTTGTTCATATTAATAGATATATAATTATATATGGTCATATAAGAAATATAAATATAATCTTGAACAATATTCTATGGCTAAACCTCTTTAAGTATAAAACGGGGAGCACACACTTCTGCACAGCTCATAATACGTAAGCATAAGAAAATTGATTGGTCTATTTCCTTATGCACATGTGTATGGACCAACCGTTATGCAGAAGTGTGTGCTTCCCGCTTTACTTTATATAGTCATATATGGTCTTATATACTAGTATCATGTGTGATTCTTATATTATAATCTTATATAATCATATATGAGCATATAAGACATTATAAGAGATATTTTTTATATGTCCTTATATAATCTTATATAATCATATATGACCATATAAGTTCTTATCAGGTCAAAATTCATATATGAGTATATAAGATTGCTTCTTATACAATCATATGACATTATAAGAGATTTTTTTTCCTGGGATGTAAATTAAACCTACATTGATCCTCTAGCATCTACAGATGTTAAAAAATTGTCTAAAATTTTGACTCGGGAGGCGAGATAGTTTATAATCTGCCACTTTTTAGTATTTTAAGTATTGTATTGTTTCTTTGTTTTAAGTGTAATATTTTTACGATGAATAGATATTAATGAATAGTATATATGAGCAAAAGTTTTAAACGTGTAACATGCACTTGTATGACTACATTGTTACAAAAACACAAAAATTAAAAATAGAGTTTTTGTAATATATTATAAAATTAAAAATAGAGTTTGTAATATATTATAATATAATAAATGTATAATAAGGGAACAAGGGGTAGCCCCGGGCATTATTGAAACTCAAGTATACCGCGTATCTATGGCCATTGTTTAAACATTCTAATATGCCCTTCTGCGTATCTCGACATATGCAGAATGTTTAAACAATGGCCATAGATACGCGGTATACTTAAATTTTAATAATGTCCGGGGCTATCCACTGTCCGGGGCTACCCCCCGTTCCCCTAATATAATAATTATTATAAACTGTTTCGTTATTAATATACCGCAAAATAAAATAAAAATTACTTATTTGCAAGATTGATAAAGTGATACCTATACCTTGCCCAACATGGTTCACTTTACCCGATAAAAATCTACCTTCGAAAATTTTGCTATAATATTAAACTCACTATAAATAAACGAAATTGGCTAAGAATACGTTGTAATAAACATTTGGCATTACAACTCAGCGTAAACAAAGTTCAGCTATCTTTAATAGTTTTCAAGTTATATTAAAAAAGGCTTAGGGTGGTTCAGAATACCCGAACTTCCTCTAAGGAATAATATACTCAAAAGGAATAATATACTTAAATATATTAGATAATTATTATCAAATTAAGTTAACTTTAAGAATTGAATTTGACAGCCAAATATACGTCTTACTGTAAACGCGATAACGATATTTCTTTTACGTATTTTATTAAAAGTTAAAAACTGAAAATTTGACTTACTAGCCTCGGTCTCCCCTACAATACGAAGTCATATATCTTAAGACGGAATATGAATATACAATTACTTATTATATCTATAAATTATTATACCTATAAATAAAATGTTCGCCCATCTGATGAACCGCTTCTCGATACCGCTGCTGGGACGCACCAAGGTCTCGTAGTGAAGTGCCCATGGCAGTTTCTGCAAACGCATTTGTAAAAGTATCATGATAATATTGTCAAATATATTTCAGAAACATCTGTAGCTATAAAAAATATATCCCGGAAAAAAACCTCTTATTTGTTCATATTAGTTTATATTAGTTTATATTAGTAGATATATGATTATATGATCATATAATAAATGGAAAATATAATCTTAAACAATATTATATGGCCATATATGAGGGTATATAATTATATATGGTTGTCGGGAGCACGGAAGTTGGTGAAGAAACTTTGAGAAGAGTGAAATCTTGAGTCTCGATTTTGAGAAAGATGAGCGAGCTTTATTGCATTTTTAGATACATAAGTTGATTTTGATTTATCTTATGCCGGCGCACAAGGGCGCCGGGCTTTCAAAAAATCTAGAACAAGAGCTTTATTTTCGCTGCTTGTCTAGCTGTCAGCGGACAACCAGGGAGGTCTTTGTCATAGAAGACCTCCTGGTTATTGTTCTGGTCGGCTTTTTTGCCCGGAGTTGTAGAGGCCCGATCGAGGGGTAACTCTGGGATCACAGGGGAGGGCAGAGTCTCCAGGCTCCTTGGTTTTCTGCTGGTGGCTCTTCTTTTTCCTGGCCTCGGTCTGCGTACTGATTGTTCTCCAGGAACCACTAGGCAGAGGCCTGAGTGCCCGTGGGTCAACCGCGGAGCAAGGCTCAGCCTTGGTGGTTGGGTTAGTCCCCGGTGTGACTCCAAGAGGCTCACGAGAGTCAAGTGCCACAGTGGCCCTTGTGTAGGCGCAGGCTCCTTTGCCGCTGATGATCGTCTAGGAAGGGAAGGCCTTCTGGCTCGCCTCCTTGCTCGGGAACGTCGTCGTCCTCGGCTGGTGCCTCGAGTGGAGTGGCCCTTGGTTTCCACCACCACAAACCGAACAAATCCTGTTCGGTGGGTGGGAGGGGCGGACTCTCAAGAGTTGGCGGAGATTATATAGTCTTAGCTCTGATGCGTAAAAACGGAGAGCTGATTCCGCTCGCTCCAGATTGAAGTGGAAACTCACAAGTTTGCAAATCTTAATCGCAGTCTCAACACCCGGTATGTAATGCTCGGGGGAGTTATTCAATGCGAGAGTTATTTCTTGCGGACAGGCTTGTCCTTATATGTATAGTCTCGTGTTTGTAAAAGAAATACGAGAAAGGTCAACCGCCCCGCGGTGATAATTGTCACTCGCGCTCATGGTTCTGGTACGGGGTGGTGCCGCGCCCGTCCGAATTGGCGGGCTTGAGAGCGCA